TGATGTATACTAGACACACACAGGCGTACATTAGAGTTTCAATCGGGCCTGAAAAATCAAGCCCGACCCGGCCTGAGCCCGCTAATACTAAGCCCGAGCCCGTATAATCCCGACACATCTGACTTCCCTGTTGCACGCATTCACCTTCCAAATGCAAGTTTAGCCACTTCTGAATGTGTTTTGTACGTCCACCTGATCCATTTCTATTAATGTTCTGTGTGTTCGCTGTTGACCGTAGCATTCAGCAGGAAAAACAGGGATGATGCGTTCATGGCTTGCTGCGGCTGTAGGACACGCTGGTTACGGTGTTATAAATATAATAACTTATTTAATAACTTGTTGTTAATCAATGGACATTATTATTAATAAATACATATATGCATAGCATTATGTATAAAATCATTAAACACAATAATAATGATTAAAAAAAATACCTTGCACAGCCCGACTGCTGGGCGCTGAAATGAGGCCTGAGCCCGGCCCTAACTCAGGGCCTGCTCGGGCTCGGGCTGAAAAGCGAAACTCTAGCGTACATTATGTTGTTGTTGATGGTGGCTTCCTGTATTCCAGACTAGAACACTGCATTGCCTGATAAATATTTTATCAATTAGATATATAAGTAAGTAACCCATTTAAAAAAATGTGTTTCCTTTTTATGGATACACTTCCATAAAATTGAAATCTTTTAAAGTATATAGTGGAATATGTGAAGTAGATGTAGATGATAGTAAAAACATCAACATCAAGGCAACTGGTAAAAGTACAGCGGGTACATTTTTTTTAAATGATTGACAACAGCACATTTATTTTTAACATTGTCAAAACCTAAACAATACTGTTCTGTAGATGTTTGGAACAGAATATGACAATAAACAAAACATTTTGAAATAAAGTTGAATGCTGTAGAATGGTTTTCACTTCAAACCTGTTTCACCGTGCTTTTCATTGTGTTATGACATATTCAAGATAACTTATTTTAATAAGTGAGTTTGCATAATGTTTGGTTACTTGAGAGAGCAACATAGAAGACCAGATAAATAGTACTCAACTAAAGTACTGATGCAGGTTAAAGAAAAATATCTTCAAGGATTGCGCTCAGATTTTTATGGAAATATAATCCTTACCGGTGTAAATAAATAGAAACGAATGGAATGACTAAAGTGCCAACATAAAAATAAACTCGGAGCTTGATAACACTGGGTAACAACAAAATATTTTTTGAAAATAGTCCAGGGTTTTCCAGCTGAGTTAGACTAATTTTGACGCTCTGAGTCCAAAAATGACCTTGGTTTTGCTCAATCAGGTCAGGATTTTTTGCTAAAGAAATATTTTTTTTAATTGATTTTGCTTAAAAAACTAATTTCTGCGGATCATCAGCTGAGAAACCCTTGACGTTTTTTCCGTTTTCCTCAAGAAATAAAAGTCAACGTATCCAAAGTCATTCAGTTTTTATTTACTCCATCAAATTTGATAAGCAGAATTCATAATAACGTAGACGTACATAATCCGTAACACTATGGCTGTATCTCAAAAAGTTGACCTGATAGAGCAAAATGCATGTGATATTCGGACTCAGAACACCAAAATTAGTCTAAATCAGTTGAGAAACTCCTGACCATTTTTTGGCTGTCAACTTGTGTATATGTCACTTAACCTGCCCAATGTCAGTGAAATAATTGGACCACAAAAGGATGTCAGAGTGATCGGTCCTGTGGCCCCAGGCCCCTGACACCTGCACATGAGCTCTCTCTGCACAGGGGCCATGATCTGCATGACAGGGCCCGATGCGGCGCTGTCAGACACTGCGATAGGTTCTGGCGCACTACATTTGGTCGTCTAGCTGTCGCATGCTCCTGTTTAGCATATGGAAGAGACCACAGGTATTCAAGCAATAAAACAAGTATATTCAAATATACAGTATTTGGCAGTATTTGGTATAGTATAAGGATGGTAATACAGGAGCAGTGATTTTTTTATGTTGATTGATTTGTCAATATGAAATGGTATTTAGTATTGTATCCTGAATTCAATATTGCATCAAAAATAAACAAAAATGGGGAACACGATTATAAGAAACAAAATTATTTGTTAATTGTCGGATTACTGTTAGAATATCTCGCAAAATGAATGTCACCTTGATTCAACACTGGTATTATACAATATCATATGATTTTAATTATATGTATACTTAAAGTTTACAAAATGGGGCATTCAAAAACAATATCAGGAGTGAGAAGGTATAAAAACTATTCTTTCTAAACCTGTACAACACATTTTTACCTAAAGCTCCTCACTTATTCAACACAGAGACAAGACGATTCTAGACAAAAACGGAAAACGAAAGCTATAGAGCAGAACAATCACGCAGCGCTTCTCTTGTTTGGAAACGTTTAAGGTGACTTGTTCATAATGAAAAACACCTACGACACCAGGGAGCAATAGTTTGATCAAAAATAAGTTAATTCATACTTTTATAGTTTCCCCGCCCAAGCTAAAATGATTTGACCATGTACAGCTTTCCCTGTCTGTGACTATCACTTAAGTTATTTGGTTCAAACAGCATATGAATAATTGTAATTTAAAGATAAATTGTGAAACTGCAAAAGGTCCTTATAATATAATTGTAGCTATTTACACTCTGCTAAAATGTATATATTTAACAGTTCTTAATGTGCTTACATGAATGAGAAAGTGTGGTGTCTTTGTTCTTGCAGAAAACTCCCGACAGGTCATAGCTGTAAAATCCTTTTCTTTGTGTCCCCAATTAGAGCCACAAGCCCACTGTGACGTGACACGGCTTAACGCGCCTGGAGGGATGGCCCTATACTCTCTGGCTTTGAACACCGTGAACATCGGCCACAGCCTCTGATTGTGCTCTGTGCCCAGGCCCCAGGAAAAACTACACTTGTGCTCACTAGGTTTGTGGCTCCGCAGATGTTCCATGCTATAGAGCCTGTGGGGCTGCAGAGAAGGGGAGAGAGTATGTGTGTGTGTGTGTGTGTCTGCATGTGTGTCTGCATGTGTGTCTGCATGTGTGTCTGCATGTGTGTCTGCATGTGTGTCTGCATGTGTGTCTGCATGTGTGTCTGCATGTGTGCATGGCCACCAGGGGTGAAGCTTGTTCTCTTGGCTTTGTCTGGGAAGATGAACATGCACGAAGCCACTGACCGACTGGTATCATGACGTCTCTGCAGAGATACAAAACCAGATCAGATTTAGAATGAACACGTGACCCTTTAGGCGCCGAAAAGCAGCAGAGTTCCAACATGAGCGCCTGGACCTCAACCCTCCATCTCTTTTGTATGTTTCAAATCAACTTTCTGAAATAACTCTGGCAACTAAAGGGTTAAAACACTGATTCCTAAAACACACAGAACAAAATTGTGCGTTTATTTACATTTTAGTGTTGTGATAAACATGTATCGTAGGTCAATCTCACAAAAAAATTGGTTAAATTAATTAGTTAATTTCAATTTGAATGAGTGCTATATCAATATAATTGACACCAACATGATAAATAAACAAAATATACTAAACTAAAATATTTCTACTGTACAAATATTGTGTTTAATGTAATTGTCTGATCAACCAGTGCTTCGATGTAACAATGCCGTTTAATTTCAGGCAAAAATAGAATTCAAAGCTAATCACCTCAAATAAAGAAGAAACAATTCTTAAATCCATAACTTGAGTTTAGTGCTCAGAAAATGATCAAAGAAAGGTTTTGTCAGGATTAACAGCATAACTCTAATTCACTGCATTCCTATAACTACATTATTTGTATTCAACCCTGAAACAATTACACTGGAAAAAATAGTGTTTGGAGACAATCAGGTTGATAGTAGCTGCAGGAAAATTATGAATAACATTGAAGAGATGGTCAACAAGTGTACTTAAAGTGGATTGGAGCAGTTTCCCAATCGGGTCCACAAGGGTCTTACAAGGGTTTCCCAATATGCTGTATTTACAATTATTAGTGTGACAAAAAGTTTTTGCTCGAATACAAAATGCGTTGTCTCAGTGCACAGTCCCTAATGTCTAATTATTTTGGTCGTAAGCATGAGTTGTATTAATACTTTTGAAAGAAACTGTACTCAATTCAATGTGTTTGAAAAATAGGTACCCAAACTTCTAGACAAAGGGACAATGACTTTTACCCAGGCTTGAATTAAATATGCAAATTTGAGGTTTATGAGCTTGAAACTGTATTGCAGCATAGTAGTAGTAAGTAAGCTTTATTTGTATACCACCTTTCACAGCCCAGAGTCACAAAGCGATTTACAATTGTTTTTTTTTTTTGGGCACTTGTCCTCTCACTCCACACAGAGATGGGAGCGGGATCACCGAACAGGAGGCGCATGCCAGACCTATTGTACATATTTTTAGTGGTAGGGGAAACCGGAGCACCCGGAGGAAACCTATGCACGGGGAGAACATGCAAACTCCACTCAGAAAGGCCCTGGTCCGGCCAGGATTCGAACCCAGGACCTTCTTGCTGAGAGGCGAGAGTGCTATCCACTCAGCCACCATGCTAGATCTATATCAGAAACTTCTGGCACAACCTTGTAACTCCGGCCCCTTCTACCTTCACTGCTATTGTCACTCTTTCTTCTATTGCCACTGTAGTAGGTTAGAAAATGCCTCATAAAATGTTTTTGTTGTGGAAACAGACACCCCCTCTATTTTTTTGTAATTTTATAAGTGTTTTATTTTGCGTAACATACCCACTCCAACCAGTAGGTGGTGCTGTAGCGCTACTGTGGTGACTAGAGGGACAGCGGAGGCGCAGCTCTCAGTAGTAAAGAAGCTGTGGCCTGATAAACATGTGTCCTCTCTGTCTATCCACAGCTCCAGTTAAATAAGCGTCACAGAGAAGTCATCTGTGTGCGCACTTGTTACTGCCCAGCTTCCCCTAGGGCTGGTGCCGGTAATAATTGGGGGCTCGTCCGGGATCTCAAAGCAGTGCTTCGTGGTGAAGAGAGTTCCATCATCAAGACGAGATGGCAACTAAGGCACCAAGGCGGGCGCTGATTGTCCAGATCCAACGACGACTTTCAAGTTTTAGCACAAGTCAGCTGCTAACAATCGTTAATGCCATTGATGACGGCAACATCACAGCCATCGATGATGAGTCAAGTGACAGTGACCTGTATGAACTCATTGTTGACTATGTGAGAAGTGACAAGCTGAAGGCACTTGAGGATGAAGGCATGTCACAGCTGCTTGTTTTGGACGATTTGACGAGCGATCTACTGAAACCTGCTGCTGCCATGGGTCCTGGAGGCGATGATCCTGCCACAACCCACACCAGCGATCCTTCATCTCCTCAGCACAACGAACTCCACTCCTTACACCTCAACGACATCCCTGGAGAAGATCATAATACAGGAACACCTCTGAGGCGGCTCCCTGCCCCAGACCAAACCAGCGGAAGTGTTGGACTCCCACGGGGTGGGGCTAGTCCATCATCTAGTATGAGAAACCAGGTATTGAGTATCAGTGATGTGGCAAGCCTGCTCCCCCGAAGAGAGTTCAAGCTCCATGGTGGACAGATTTCAGATACTGGTTCAGAAGTGTCTTACGGTAACCTGTGTAAGCAAATGGATGTAGGTTTACATGAGGGGTTTTCTGAGTCAGAAGTTATCAGAAGTGTGCTTAAAATCACAAAACCTGGTACATTCAGAGACATGTTACTCAACAAAGGTGATCTAAATGTAGATGAGCTTAAGAAGTTTCTACGCTCTCACATTCGTGATAAAAACAGCACAGAGCTCTTTCAAGAGTTAAGTAATGCTAAACAAGCAGATAAAGAGAGTCCACAACAGTTCTTATATCGAGTAATGGGTTTAAAACAACGTGTTCTTTTTGAGTCACAACAAACCAGTTCTGGGTTTACTTATGATGTTAAACTTGTACAAGGTACTTTCCTCCATACTCTTTATCAGGGGATGAATGAGAAAAATGATTATGTGAGACGTGACCTTAAGCCATTCCTTAATGACATGCAAGTGAGCGATGACCTCTTACTAGAACAAATCACTAAATCCACAAGTGAAGAGGCAGAAAGACAGAAAAGACTGGGTACAACTGTTAAGACTAAGACAGTGACTGTTGCAACAATTGACAGTGGTGACAAGACTAAAGACATTAAAGTTGACAAAGAGCGACAGACACAGCATGACGCTATTAGAGAACTAACAGCACAAGTGTCCTCCTTGACTAAACATCTAGCTCAAATGACCAGGCCACCGGATAATCCGAAACCTGTTGACTCTGGCCCACGGAGACACAACCCACAAGTACGAAGTGAAACACGGGGCAGATGTAAATCCTGTGTAGAAAAAAACATTACCCCGTGTCATCATTGTTTTGTGTGTGGTCAAACAGGACACAGGGCCATAGGTTGTCTACAGCGCAACGTGTCGGGAAACGTGATGCGGTCACAGGAGAGGGGCAGCCAGTGACCGAGACACCCCAAACGTCCCAGATGTTTAACAGCAAAAGACAAGCATCACAGCCGCCTCGCTCGTCACCACCGCCAAAGAAACGACTGGCTCAGCTCATTGGTAAAAGATGTATGGTCTCATGTGCTCTCGATGGTGCTCCAATTCAAATGCTACTGGATTCAGGTGCACAAGTGACACTGGTGGGGAAAACATGGATGCAGGAGACATTACCAACTGTTCCTATTCAACCACTCACCTCACTGTTTCCAGACCAACCTTTTGAAATCTCTGCTGCAAATGGCAGTGACGTTCCTTTTGAGGGTTGGGCAGATATGGCACTTGAACTCAAGAGCAATAACCATGGGCACGTAACTATCCAAGTCCCAGTTATAGTCACTGAGAACTGTCTTAACCATCCCATTCTAGGCAGTAATGTTATTGCTGAAGTGATTAAAGCTAATAAAGAAACCAACACTAATATTACTGATTTGCTGAAAGAGGCTCTAAGTGTTAACGAAAATGCAGTTGAGGCTTTAGTGTCAGCACTTGACGTTTCCACCTCAGATGATAACTACCTTGAATACACAGTTAAAACTGGCAAAAAGGGTGTAATGTTGCCTGCTGGCCAGATTTGTGAAATTAGGTGTAGGGTCAGAGAGTGGCCAGCAGGAGGTGCAATGTTATTTCAGCCTAGTGTGCAGAACAATCATCCAGATGGGTCAGAGTTGTTTTCAGCATTAGTGAGTGTTCCTAGTGGTTTAACAAAAACAGTAAAAATCCCTATACAGAACACCACTAAACATGAAATCTATCTTCCAAAAAGGACTGTTTTGGGAACACTGGAAGAAGTTGCAGAAGTAAAATCTTTTAACAGTGTTTCAGACAACCCAAACTTGAACCAACCAGCTTGTGTGAACACCTGTTCTGTAAATTCCAGTTCAGTACAAAACACCAGTGATATTCGTCAAGCAAAGGACACTGATGTGAAAAGTGAAAAATGGCACCCACCAGTAGATTTGTCACATTTGAATGAGAAAGAACGAAAGACTGTTTGTGATATGCTATTTGAGGAGTCAGATGTATTTGCAGGAAGTGACTCAGACATTGGCTGTATCCCGAGTCTGCAACTCAAAATCAATCTCACAGACAATGTTCCAGTTCAAACAGCCTACAACTCCATCCCAAAACCCTTGTACAAGGAAGTGAAAGACTATGTTCAAAAACTGCTCGATCATGGCTGGATCAGGAAATCCACTTCTCCCTATTCCTCGCCTGTGGTCTGCGTGAGAAAAAAGGACATGTCGTTACGGTTGTGTGTTGATTTTCGGGGATTAAATCGCAAAACTATTCCTGACCGTCACCCACTCCCACGCATTCAAGACTTGCTGGACAATTTGGGGGGTTACTCTTGGTTTTCAATATTAGACCAAGGTAGTGCTTACCACCAAGGTTTTGTAGAAGAGAACTCTAAACACCTGACCGCTTTCAGCACACCTTGGGGGTTATATGAGTGGAACCGCCTCCCATTTGGCCTCACCAACGCCCCAGCAGCCTTTCAAAGATGCATGGAAGGTGTCCTTGACGGGTTAAGAGATGATTGTTGTTCTCCCCTACTTAGATGACGTGTTATGTTATTCTAAGACTTTCACTGACCACGTAAACGACTTAAGACGTGTTCTACAAAGACTTAGAGAACATGGTGTTAAGTTACGCCCTAACAAGTGTGAACTTTTTAAACGTCAAATCAGATATGTAGGCCGTCTTGTGACTAGTGAAGGTATCCAGGTAGACCCCAAAGATCTAGAAGCTGTTTATCAGCTCAGGGACAGAGAACCAAAGAATGTTGGAGAAGTTAGAGCTCTCCTAGGTTTCTTAGGATACTATCGGACATTTATTCAGGACTTTTCCAGATTGGCCAAGCCACTTTATAAACTTGTTGAAGGCCCTAGTGAAAAACAAAGTAGGCCCACTAAACCCGGCAGATCCAAGAAAAACAGTAATGGTCAACTTCCTTCCAAAACACCGGTTAACTGGACTCAAGAACACAGTGCAGTTGTGTCACGTTTTGTAGATATGCTTACTAGTCCACCTATTTTAGCATACCCAGACTTTGACTTGCCTTTCGTTCTCCATACAGACGCCTCTAATGAAGGACTGGGTGCTGTACTTTATCAGCAACAGAACAACAAACTCCGTGTCATTGCATATGGGTCCAGAACACTAACGCCTGCGGAAAGAAACTATCACCTCCATTCCGGAAAGCTTGAGTTTCTCGCGCTTAAGTGGGCGATCTGTGACAAATTTAGGGATTACCTTTATTATGCCCCTACCTTTGTCGTTTTCACTGACAATAACCCTTTAACATATATTTTGACCACGGCCAAGTTGAATGCAGTGGGGCACCGCTGGGTTGGTGAACTAGCTGATTTTCATTTTACTATCAAGTATCGCCCTGGAAAGTCAAACGCTGATGCTGACACACTGTCAAGATACCCAGTTATACTGTCTGATCACATGTCAGAATATACAGAGACAATGCCACCTGAAGTTATTTCTGCCATTTGGCAAGGTGACAAAGCAATCAGAGACAGTGAAGTGCCTTGGGTTGCTGCTTTACAGTTAAACTTGAATGCAAATGAACCAGACACTACAGGCACCCCTGTCATTTCACCTGAAGATCTCAGAACTGCTCAAAATGAGGACAAGTCTATCTGTGAAGTGATACAGTTAAAAAGGAAAGGATGGACTCCAAATGAAAAGGACAAGAGACTAATGACACATGAAACAAGGAGACTAATACATGAGTGGAACAGATTAAAACTGGAGAAAGGACTGTTGTACAGATTCACTGACAAAAGGAAACAGTTTGTTTTACCAGACAATTTGAAAAAAACTGTTTTGAAACATTTGCATGACGATATGGGTCATGTAGGAGCAGATAAAGTCATTTATCTAGCACGTGAACGCTTTTATTGGCCCTTCATGCAGCGTGACATAGAAGATTATGTCATTCGCCAGTGCACAGTCTTAAACAAAAACGTCCATGTGTTCCCGAAAAAGCTCCAATGGGTTCAATCACAACAAGTGCTCCATTTGAACTTGTATCGGTTGACTACATTCACCTAGAACCAAGTAAAGGTGGTTACGAGTATATATTAGTTCTAGTAGACCACTTCACGCGTTTTGCACAAGCTTATCCAACTAAAAATAAGTCAGGCAAAACTGCGGCAGAGAAAATATTCTATGACTTCATCCCGAGGTTTGGGTATCCTGAAAAGCTCCACCACGATCAGGGTCGGGAATTCGAAAACAGCCTATTCCAAAGACTCCAACAACTCGCAGGAATAGCTACTCTCAACTACCCCCTCCATCCTCAGGGAACCTGTTGAACGTCTAAACAGGACTATTCTACAAATGCTACGAACCCTGCAGGAAGAAAAGAAAACACAATGGAAAGATCATGCCACACATTCTCCATGTACAATTGTACCAACACGAAGCGACTGGATACTCACCCTACAAATTGCTATTTGTTGTTTGACCTAAAACCTGAAAGTGACTGTAAAACAAAAGAAGAATATGCTGAAAAATGGAAACTCGTATCGAGAAGCTTATAAAATTGCTTCTGAAAACACCAAAAGAGCTCAGCAAAAGGTAAAAGGTACTATGACCAACATTCCAAAGGCATCCCCGTTACAACCAGGGGACCGAGTACTGGTCCGGAACCTCTCAGAACGAGGAGGACCTGGAAAACTAAGAGCTTACTGGGAGAAATGTGTTCACAAAGTTGTTGAAAAAATGGGTGACGGTCCTGTATACAAAGTTCAAGCAGAGACAGGAAACCGAAATCTCAGAGTCTTACATAGAAACCTCCTATTACCAGTCAATGACTTACCACTTGAGGAAGAACAAAGTCAAAAGATGAACCGGACAAGACAAAAACAAAGAAAAGAACGTAGACAAAATCAGGAAGCTGTTGACCCTGAATCTGAACAGTCAGATGAGGAGGAAGAATTAACATACAACTGGCCACCTGCGCCTGTGTATCAAAGCAAACCTCAGTCACATCGTGAACTCAGGGCCACAGCACCTGTATTTCAACTTGAAAGACAAAGCACTCAAACGAGTCATGTGCAAGAGGGAAGTGCACAACCACCAATTGACATACAGAATCCAAATGTGTCAATCCCAGCTGTCGAAATGGAATCAGGACCAAGGCCAGAGCCACTCGACCCAATTCCAGCTGAGGAATTACCCGTAATGGACAATATAACTGATTTGGAAATGGAACAACTGCCTAATACAGTGTTTGATACAAAATCACATGAGGAAACAGTTCGCAAATCAGTCCGAACAGTTAAGCCAAGAGAAATGTTCACTTACACTCATTTGGGACAACCATCATACCAAGCATGGAGACCGGCAGCGAACATGATGTTTGCCTATCCTATGCCCTGTTACCCAACACAACCTGACATGTACTACTATCCCACCCCAATGTGGACATGTTAGAGTTTACTTAAGTGACCTTTTCTTTTTTCATTAGCAGACCAAGTACTATGATTCTTTAAAGACTGTGTGTTACTTATCTTGAGACACTTTGTGTAAGATGCCGGAGTCATCTTTTAAAAGCAGGGGAGAGTGTAGTAGGTTAGAAAATGCCTCATAAAATGTTTTTGTTGTGGAAACACCTTGGAGAGACCCATGAGGAAAACGCATTAGACTTATTGATTTAAGCATGTTTATTGATTGAGCATGTTTGGCGCCCTAGGCCCGGGCGGGATGCTGTTGAGCACGGCGCTTGCTCGCGTGCATGATCCCCCCGGGGCCTAGGCACTGGTGACGGCAGAGGCAGTAGGCAAGCACGCTTCATGCGAGAAGGAGGAGGTGGGGCGGCGGCGGCTTGCAGACTTCAGAAGATCGGGAAGTGGGCGTCTCCGGCTTTTAACTTGCTGTCCTGGTGGTTATTGGTTGACTGGGTGTGGGCGTTGCTGGTATTGATGAGTCGAGGAAGAGCA